TGTATATATATATTATTATTTATTATATAACATTGTCAACATCAACACCACAAAAAAAAAAAAAAAAAAAAAAGTAACGTCATAGTTGTTTTCATCCCAGCACTCTGGCCGTGTTGAGAAAGGCAGCAGGAGTCACACGTCCCTTTGGGAAGGAGAGGAGCAGGGGAGGGCCGGGCAGGGGAGGGCTGTGGCAGAGACACGGACTGGGGGTACGTGGGGTCAGCGCTCTACTCCCCCGGGTTTGCCTTCTGAACCAAAGCACCGGGGCGGGCACATCGTGCCATGGCCAATGAGTGCTCCATGTGTGCTTCCAACCATTGGCACGGTCAGCGTCTGTCCCTCTCGAGTGCTGGTGGTGAACATTTGCTTAAAGCAGTCTTGCAAAATGCTCTCATTTTTGTTAACGATGGTGTGTTGGATTTTTTTTCCCTTTTTTTTTTTTTTTATTTTCCCCTCCGCTTTTTTATTTATTTTATTTTATTTTATCTTATTTTTTTTTTTATTTTTTTTCCCATTTCCATCGACTGCCTCGTTAGCTGTTCTCGCTCCACTCTGGCACCATGCCCACGCCGTGCACCGAGTGGTACTGGTGGGGCGAGAGGGTTCGAGGCACACCGTGGGAATAGAGGAACTCTGCAGGCTGCAAGCTGCTGGGGGGAGACTGGATGCCGGTCTGAGGTCCGCACTGCCGCACGATGGGCTGGTGAGAAACCGAGGTCTGGTGCTGGAACATGCTATGGGTGTCTCCTATCTGGGGGGACGTGTGGTTGGCCACGCTGCTGAGCCGGGGCATCAGAGGCCCTGAGGTGAAGTGGGCAGAGAAATGCTGGTAGGGTAACCTGTCCATGGGTTGCATGGCAGACACTGTGCAACTGCTGTAGGATGGCACGCTGGGCCACGTGTTACAGCTGATGTCTTCCAGGCTGGGCACGGGGTCCGTGGGGGGAGCAGAGCTGGCGTACATACATGCCTGGCGCTGGGCTGATTCAGTCCTGTACGAAGTGTTCAGTCCCTGTTGTTGGGGGTAACTGGACCTGTAGAAAGGATCCTCTTCCGCCGGTGAAGTTTCCATGTAGGGCTTCTTGTAGGGATGCTCGGTGGTGGAACATTCCTCATCTGTTGGGAGAGAAAACTCCTGTTAGCAAACAACAATGCCATGCCCTCAGCTGAACCTCCCTCTCTGCAGGCTGCCAGGACCGTCCTCCTTCTACCAAGGGCACAGCCCACGCAAGGCTGAGGCAGACGTGCCCTAACGGCCATCTAGCTCCAGTCCGTCTGCTGCAGACACATCTCCCAGTGCTGTCACAGCCCTTCCTTGGGACTGTTCTGAACAGATCCCACTAAAGCAGCTCATCGGGCCTGCTGGGCTGGGGAGAGAGGGATTAGCTGGGAGCTCTGGGAGGAGAAGCAATGTAATTTGCAGAACGGATCTTGAGAAGTATTATTTCTGGTGATACCCCATGACACCAGACTCATCTCTGTTGGCTGCCAGCACATCTCCTGCCTGCAGACACAGCACCCTAACAGACATCCCCATTCCCAGAGCTGATACTGTTAATTAAAAGCTTATACAATTATACACTTCTGTGATAAGTGGCACAATAAAAATTCCACTGTGAGAGCACCAGCTATGACAGAGGTGAGGCAATCAGATTTAACAGCCCCAGCCTTCAGCTGTGCCAAGGGGAACATAAATCCATGCAGGGCTGCGTGCTGGGGCCAAGCAAAATGAAAAAGTGAATTTTTCTCCAAACAAGGCACAGCTTGCAGAGCCCTTTGTTTCCTGCAGCATCTCTGTGCCAACAGCAGGAAGGAGATAAACAATGTAGGTAAAATCTCTAGGGGGAGTAAAATGAATAAATGAATATGCACTTATTTATTCATTCACAGGGTCATCAAATGAAATCCAGCTCTGCTGGAATGAATGGCAGAGTTCCCAGGAACAAGAGCTTCACCGAGAGATTTTAAGGTCAGTGAGGCAAGGAGAGAAGAGCTTGTTCCGACCCACGTTAGCTTGGTGCTCCTGCTCTAAGAGCAGGATTCCTGGTGCGGGCAAAACATGGCACTCCATCTAAAGGCATAACAATTGGAAAGAATACCACCAAGAATTGACCCTTACTGCTGTAAGCAGCCATATGTTCCTCTTGGAAGCTGCACCTGCTCTGCTTGTAATATAACCCATCACCTCACTCAGGTGCCCACCCAGTGCAGCCAGCACATATAGGCACCAAAGGGCAGGAGAGCCACGCACTGAAACAGCATCTTTGGCACAGCCAAAATGGTAAGTGGGTGCAGCAGTGTATCACTGCGCTCACTTCTGATGGGGTTTGTTGCATAGGTGAAGGTGACAAAAGCTGTGAGTCCTGGTTCTGAGCGTAGTCCATCACAAAAGGCACATCTGCAGTACCAGCCGCAGTGCTAGCTTCTACACACAGCCTAAAAGCTCTGGATCCTTAACCCACCACTGAGTAATAAGAACGCTGGGGTGGAAAAACAATGTCTTGTAAAATGAAGCATTGTTCTGCTAATAAAATTTTCAGCATTAAACCGCATTACTCTGCTGGCATTAGAAGCCACTGGCTTGGGGTTTGACTGTTTATTTTATTTTATTTTTTTAAATATGAAGCTCAAAACAGTCAAACCCTGTTTTTCCATTGTGCTGAAGTGTGCCTGACTTACAACCTGAGGCTGCTGATTTTTCCACTGAACCCAGACGTTCCACTCCCTGCTGCAGCACAGCCAGGCAGGGCTGCAGAGCCACAGGTCTGCTTCCAGAATGCATTGCAGGTGGAAAGAAGAAAACAAAAACAACCAGCACATGAGTGGAAGTCCTACAGCTGCCTCCTCTTCTTTATGAGCTCCAGCAAGTGCTCTGCTGTTCTTTCTAGACCTGTGCTCACTGATGTCAGATATGGGAAGGACACTGGTATTCTAGTTCTTAAGGACTTCGAGGGGACTGCACCTATCTCCAAAGAGGACGTTAACAGAGGATCACAGCCCATCCTAACAGTGCCTGCCTGCCCTCCAGCTTTTCCTCCTGCTGCTTTTCCACCTCTCTCACAGCTCTAAAAAAAGAGCCATCCCCATTCTGGGCAGCTCAGAGCCAACCCAACTGCTCTGGAGCCTGGACAGTGGATCCCCAGGCCACAACCCTCTTCCTAAGGTTCTCTCACATTCTCAGCAGGGCATAGTGGAGAAACCTGCTCTGCTCTGGCTTTACTTCTTGATGCTGGTTCCCTAACAGCCCCCCTTGTCCTTTTCCCAGTGGCACACCTTTGGGAGATGCTGGCCATCCTCTGTGTTCATTGCTGTTCTTGGAAGCCTGGGGTGGCAACCAGCTCTCGTGAGCATCCCCTTGATACTGCACAAATCTCCAACAGCAGAAGGTTCTGCCAAGCAGGGGAAGCTGCCAGAAGTGGATCCAAGGAAAATGGAGCCTGCAGAATGTGTGGAAACTGGCTCCCTCTTAGATGATCTATCTAATGAAGGAGTTTGAATGAGAGCATAAGCAGTTCCAAGATTTCCGGTATTTACTACTTCCAGCTGGATTGTAAATACCACACAAATGACTTTTTAAGTAGAATTTTCCCAATTCCAGGATTAGGCCTATCCAAAATGAAATGCAAACATGTAAAATCTCTGGACTTCAGGGTACCCAGGGCCCACCTCTTCCCCTTGTGCAAATCCCCTGCAAAGGAGAGCTCCTTTCTAATTCATGACACTCATCTCCATGGGATAAAGGACAATGAAGAATGGGACCCAAATGTTTCAGTTTTTAAAGCTCACTCGCACTTCCCAGACATTACAGTAGGTTTGTCCCAACTTTATGAGGGACAGACAATGGCTGATTATCAATAATGCTGTTGTTTTGCCCATTCTGGTTTCTCATCTGAATCTAACATGAGTGGGAACAGCCAATCAAAATGAACAAAGCCAACTAGGGCTGTCAAAGAAGAGAAGGATGGACTCAACCAAAATGTGCATCCCTAAAGGGCAGACAAGTCATATTTCCTGGGACATGAAACCTAAGATGTGTTGCGGCTGTGGCAGTTATTTTAGCAGTCACACTGCTTGCAGTGGCTGCATTGCACTGCAGGGGAACACAGAAAGGGATACAGGGCAGAAAGAAAGAAAAACAGCACCAGAAGCTGGAGGCAGTAAATGGCTGGTACTGCCCGCAGAGGCACAGAAAGCATTGCCTGGTGAGGCAATGGAGTATCTGCATGAAGCACCACTGGCCTCGTGAGCACCTCCTGCCCTGGAGGCAGGCTCCTCTGCAGCCCATTGCTCCAGGCTTCAAGCTACATCTGCTGCATCCTCCCAGGCTGCAGACACCTCCGGCTGTGAGGTAGCTCAGGGCTTGACCAACTCATTGCAACTCCTAAAATGCTGGCAGGATGAGAAGAAGGTCATCCTACAGCTGGCTTTTATTCAGCCCTGTTCCTATGGCTTCTCCAAGAGAAAGAAATCCCATCTCCCTGTGATGAGGGAGAAATCAGCTTGGTAAAAGGTCGGCCTACCCTAACAGTGCCTGTTCTTGAGGAAAAGGGAGAAAGGCACTGCTGCATCTCCACCAACCTCAGCAGAACAAGAAGAAGATGAGTGATATATACTTCCCCATGGGCAGGGTCACATCCAAGCTAAGTGGCTGAACGACACAGTTCTTGCTGGTTGGAGCCGGTGGATTCTGCCGCATCCCTCTTCTCCCTCAGAGTGCCAACATGACAACTTTTATAACCTCCCCCGGGAGAAGCTGTTCCAGTCACCTCCTGTTCAGCATCACAAGCAACCCAGAAATCTGCCAAGTGGTTGGGATTGTGTAAGGCTGGGAGGGAGCAGAGGTTTAGAGGGATGACTTTTTAGTTCACAGGAAGTCTGAGAGAGAGAGGATAACACAAGGGAAAACAAGCCCTGATGCCCTACTTGGGATGTGGGGCTAAAATGAAAGTCAGAAAGCCAGCTGCCTGCTGGCAAGTCCTTTTGGGCTTCTCAAGCACAGCAGTGAGAAAGGAAGAAGTGGAGAAAAACTAGAGAAAAGGCAAAGATTTAACAGATCTTTGTTGCAACCTAAAAATCCACATCAAGAGATGAGGCCACTGCTTAGGAGGACACAGTTGTGGAGTTCATCCATCCATCCCAGAGCAGTCCAGGTGAAATGCCATAGGCAATGTCAGTCTGGAGCTAGGATTCAACGCAGGACAATTCAAGCCTTCAGGACTGTTATTCCCTAGCATTCAGCATGTTCAAAAAGTGCTTGGAGCAGCAACCTGTCACATCATACTGGGGTCATTCCCAATGCCTTGACCCCGCGTTCCCACCCAGGCACCAGGAATTGCCACATTGGTGCTCTGGGATGTGTCCTTCCTTCCTCACCCAGAAGGGGATCTGCTCCCTGAGACAGAGGAGCCTTCAGAGATAACATCCCTGCTGCTCTCCCCTAATGCAACTTCATATCAGATCTACAGAGTGAATCCATCTTGACTTGACAGCTAAGAACAACACTGTCAACCACAGAGTGAAATCTTGGTCTCAAGTCACCGAGAAAGGAGCAGTTGAATAAGGTGCCATTCAGCTGCTCAAACAGACCCATTCTTTACCAAGCCTAAACGAAGAGTCACCCTCCTGATTAGAAGGGCTCCAAAGAAACACCATGAGATGTCAAAGCTGGATGGAGCACTATTCGAGAGCCTATCTTGGAAGGCAGGGCTGGTATTTGCTGCAGAAGATACAGACACCAGCTGGTCTTGAACACAGCCAGATTGCCCTCTGCCCCTAGGAGCACTTATCCATAACCATAGCCTCATGAGAAGGAAATCATCTGCTGGAGACAAATCCTAACCTGACTGAAGAAGAGCCAGTGCTTGAGGAGTTGATTGGAACTGCATACACTCCTACCTACACTTTTTCTCCGATGAGAAGACTTATTAAAATATATGCAGAGAGACTGCAGTAGGAAAGCAGGAGAGGTGTGAGGAAGAGTTTGGTATTTCACTGAAGGAGGAGATGTTGCAAGAGGAAGATAAATATTATATATAAGATTAGTTTCACTAGTTTAATGCAGATCCTGTTCAGCACTAGAAGAAAGTGCCACACTCAGCCTGAGTTTGAGATGAAACCTTGGATCACGTTCTGATTTATCTGAGAAGAATTGCTCATCCCTCAGTTTTTGTTGTTGTTGTTGTTGTTGTTTTAATTAATTTCACTTTGCAAAGCGCTGCTTGGCAGCTGACGTTGGCTCTCTGTTTCCCATTAACTTTGTGTTTCTTTCCTTTAAGCCCCGTGACTGTTTTCGATTTGCTGCATGCATGGGAGGGGAAAAAGCACAGCAAGGGGAGCAGAGGCTCAGGCTCCTGAGACACACAGCTTGGGGAAGAAGGCGGTGGTGTCGGACAGGACGCTGCTTCTCTTTGATTAAAGCATTTGGCGGCTTTGATAAAAGGCCCTTAACTGCTTGTGCCACTCAAGCCATCATGGAGATAATGAGGAGCCGTCGGCCCTACAGACAAGGACGCGCTTGGCCAGTCTCCTGCACTTCTGCAAGGGCCATGCAGGCCAGAAGGGGCTGGGGAGCTTATTATGGGGCAGATAGTCGTCTCTTTTGTGACAATAAGAGGAAGTGAGATAATTGAGGGATTGAGGGAAACCACCCATGGAGACACCACTTAGTGGGAATCCCAAAACTGGAAGGAAACCTCAGCTGATTCCTTATCACTTTACAATGTGAAGGCAAATGATGAATTGCCCTGCGGTGCAGGGACATGCAGATTGTCCAAAGGGCCGCTGCCATTTGGGCCAGCTTGTTTTATTCATGTTCAGTGGAGGGGAAGAGGAACGTCAAAAGCTCAGCTCCCAGGGCACCGAGGCTGGATCTCAGGCTGAGACACCAAGGGCCATTGTGACCTCTTGTCCCATTTCCACCATAAGGCTTAGTGGCAGTCCCCCCGTGTCCCAGCAGCTTGCACCCATCATTCTACACCAGGATGGGGGGAGCAAGGGTGATACAGCTCACTCGGACCTCAGGGTACACTCTGGAAGTGCACTGCTGTTCCTTACTCTCTACCCACCACAGCTTGGATACTGGCTGTATGAGAACTGGGGTCACCCCACCAGCTGGAAGACTGAGAAAATTATGCCTCCATTTCTCCCTCTTTGGCTCAGCTCCACAACATGAAAATATTAAGATTTCTCAACAATTTTTGTTTTGCATATATACATGTATGTCCACAGATGCAATGCTACAATACTTGGAGGACTTACCAAGGGTGAGACCTCTATTTCCACTGCCCTGCTGTCCCATCTGCCAGCACTTCCTGGCATCTGCCACTTTCACCCTGAGTCTGCACTGCACATCCCAGTGCCCCGGGGTTAGGATGCTAAAAATAATGGCATGTGGCTTGCTGATAGGACCCTGCAGGGAAGCAGGAAGATATCTGCTGTAGGAAGAGGCTACCAGGCTGGAGCAGTACTTTGTGCAGCCAAATCCTGTGGTGCGTGCTGTCTCCTTTTGGCTTTTCCAAATCCTGGAGAAAAGTGAACCGGGTAGGCAGCCACAACCTCCTGCCTGTCCCATAACACTGCCCTGGAAATTCCCTATTTTCCTCTGAGGGTCCAGGCCTGATCTCATGTTTTTGCTTTCCCAGTCCTGAAGCATTTCTGCATCTGGGCACACCCACTGCTCTGGGAGGGGAAGGGAGAGCCCACAGAGTGCCTGCTCATGCCTGAGAACAATTATCCTGCTGGTACCCCGGGCTCTTCACGCCAGGACGAGCTGAGCAGTCAGTGTAAAGTACTCACAGTGTGATCCCTCAAGCTCTGTCAAAGCAGGTCAGTCACGCCAGAGGGGAATGAACATGGATATCATGATTTTCAATCCCATGCCCCGCTCATTAGACTGAGCATTTAAGTGGAAATGCTTTCTGCATATGGGCAAATGTCTTCCAGCCGTGAGACTTTTAGACAAAAACCACAAAATCCAAGCTGTCAAGGTATCTACACTCAGAGATTAACCCTAACTGAGGGCTACAGAGACAGATAAGTCAACTTTATCTCCGGCACCAGCTATCTTGCCCAATGTGGATTCAGCACGGATGGAAGGTGCCAGCAGCTGCTCCCAGCCCAGGGCAGAGGAAAGAATCCAGGCTCCCACAGGTGAGAAGAGTTTTCTAGCCCTACTCCATGCTGCTCCCCACTTCTATTGCACAGCACTCAGCCCTTGCCCATCTTCAAGAGGCACCACAAAGCAAGCCAGAGCCTCCCATCCCACAGTGAGAGAGCGCTACAAAGTAATGGCCAAAGTCATGCTAGGGAGGGGGAAAGTCACAAGCAGCAGTATTGAAGGCCTGACCTTTTCTCTTGGTGCAGTGGTAGATCTGGCTGTGCTCCTGGGAGATTGGGTAGGGGTTGGCAGGTGGCAGCAGGTCCTGGGAGGTGCTTGACACCCCGTTCTCACACTGGTACTGGGAGCCCAGGTTGGAGGAGGTGGAAAGGACCCTGGTCTCACCACTGAAGGGGCTGTGATTGGAGGACACTTTCTGTCTCACTGTGCTCCTGGGAACAACTGGGTACTCTTTACTAAAAGCAAACAAACAAACAAACAAAAAAGAAAAGCAGAAAAGCAATCAATTAATAAAAAGAATTGGTGAATTAATAAATGAAGGCAGCACATTAGCGTCATGGTGTTGATGAGACTTTCAGAGAAATAGAGGCGCCCCTCCCAGGCGACTGCAGCCCCATCACACGTTGTCACTGCAGCATTCTCTCCCCTCTTGCTCTCCTTTCGGTATCTTTTTCCTTGTATTCTTGCCTCTTCACCACTTTTATTTTACCCACACTTAAGATAGATATATGAAGTCATAGCAAAATACATAAGATTTATACGTACACAATATGATGGCATTTATGAATCACTTCCTATTTATATCATATATATGAGCATGTATGTAAATAAAAAGCTCATTTCCGTCAAGTTGCTTACAGGGAATCAAGCTGATGTGATGGTGGATTAAATATTTAGGTCTACTTTTTCCCTGTGTGGTTGCTGTCCCCATTCCTTTTCCCCAGGCTCCTCCAGCCTGGTTGTCCTGAATGGGGATCTCTGGACCAGAGAACAAGCTCCCTCCCAGAGTGCTCGGAGAAATAAAATATCACAAGGAGCCATTTGCCTGAGCAGAGCCGCTCCAGGAGGGTGAGCACTGATGGAAAGTGTGGTTTGTTTCCTTGTTTTGAAATCCGGTTTGAAGCAGTGGTGCTTTGCCAACAGTGGCTCCAAATCCCTCTCCTACAAGAGCATACAATGTTTTAGAGACATTTCTCCAAGCACATTGGCAACATGTGGCAGGACAAGATTATTCTCACAGGAAAGAGTAGGGGGTTCAGAGACCAGAGACCTCAGGTGAGACACTAATGTCCTCCACTTCCACAATGGCCAGGCACTTGCTGAATCCAAGGACTTGCTGGGCTCAGAGCAGTCTGAACCAGAGCCCAGATCACAATACAACTTCGCTCTTTGCAGCCACAACCTCTGCAGCAAGATGGCTTAGAGGTGCCCTGCTCACCTGCCCAAGGGTAGATCCTCCAATCCCATCTTGAACAGGCTCGCCTGGCCACATATGTGTGGAGGAGGAGCCCTGAATCTCCTCTTAGGCCTTTTAGAGAGGACCTATCATAGCAACAACTCAGAACTTATTTACAACATTTAACAATACCAATTATATAAACCTACTCTCAGCAGGGAGCTTTCATCCAAACCACTGCTGTGGTGACTTCCAGAACCATTAGCAACAGAGCTGTTATAGAGGGGAAACTCACCCAGGAGCTCAAAACCAAGTGAATGTGTTTCTCATTGTGCCACAAATGTTTTCCAAACCCAGGGCGCTGGTGACTTGCCAAGCCTACACCAAAGGTGGGGTTCTTACTCCACCAGCCCTGCAGCTCCTTTCCACCGCTGACCAATCATGCAGCTTTTTGCCTAAAAGTGAATTTCAGGCTGTGCATGGTGAACAAAAAGAGAGGTGGGCTGGTAGGAATGTGGGAGGAAGTGGGGACTCATTCTTTGGGCACACAAGGCAGTAACGGGTGCCAGGAGGTGCTGTGTGCTTCAGGAGACCTCTTCACCAGTGGGCAGCTAGCGCCCATGATTCCACTGCATGAGCTCCTGCTGGAAGGTCAAGAGCTATTACCTTCAGACCTCCCTTCAGATAAACCCCCTAAGTACTATGCCTCTCAGCCCTACCAGATTATAGCTTTGAGCTGTCTGCTTCTGCCATGCTCCACCTTCACAAAGTGGTCTTCATGGAAATGGTACCAGCACAATGCCCAAAGCTGCCATCCTCACATTTCCCTTAGGGAGACAAGATGCCCAAAGCTGACTCTGCTTCCTGATCAGACTGCTATGTGGACTAACTGATTCGTTCTTCCTCAGCTCACAGACCTCTCCCAAACATCATAGAAACATAGCATCACAGACTTGCTCAGGTTGGGAAAGATCTTAGAGATCATTGAGTCCAACCACAACCTGACCATACTACCCTAACTCTAACAACCCTCTGCTAAATCATGACCCTGAGCACCACATGCAGATGGTTTTAAAACACATCCAGTGACAGTGACTCAACTACCTCCCTGGGGAGCCTATTTCAGTGCTTAACCACCCTTTCTGATACCCAACCTAAATCTCCCCTGGCACAGCTTGAGGCCATTTCCCCTTGTCCTGTCACCTGTCACCAGCAAGAAGAGACAAACTCCACTCTCCCCGCAATCACCTTTTAGCTATTTGAGGAGGGCAATAAGGTCTCCTCTCAGCCTCCTCTTCCCCAGACTAAAATGACACAGTTCTCCTTTTGTTTCCCCAATGGAGTGCCTATGAGCTGCCACAGAGGAGAGACACACTGTGGCCTGATGTCACACCATGTTTACTGTGGCTCTTTTGGAGGACAGCAAAGCTGAATGCTGCCACAGTTTCTCCCTTCTTCTGGGGTGGAGGAATTGGATGCCTCCATTGGATGCCCTTTTGCAGGTGTTTCTTCCAGTAACCTCTCACAGGAGTTCACAGGGACCTCCGCTTGCATCATGCTCTTGCTGTGCAAAGGATCATATAACACAGAGAAGCAGCCCTCACCCTGATGCTGCTCACCTATAACGTTTTCCCTGTCACTACAGAGAGCTGATAGTTTTTTATTAATAAAAATTTCCTATCTCTAAAGGAGCTATGTGCCTTAAGCTGCAATATTTTTACCCCAAAGTACCCAGCAGAGGTGGTGTCAGGGTCCCACACTCCTGTTAAGCACTGGTTCCTTTCCAACTGCTTTTCCCAGGGAAACCACAGCTTCTGTGGCTGCCAGAGGAGCATGGTGCTCCATAGCATAGCAGGACATGTGCTGGAGGGAGAGCAGTTGGAAACACCACATTTCTCTTCCCAGGAGACAGGGACTTCTCTTCAGACAGAAATATTTCCATTTCAGTCAAACACACTGGGTGTTATTTTTGCCCCCAAAATTAACAATTTGAGGAGTGAGAGACAGGAAACTAAATATCAAAAATAGTCTCTTCCTTTCGCTTTTTTTTTTCCCTACTGTCAAAGGCAATTCTCTCTGTATTTCTATTTCTCTGTTCCTTGCAAGCTCTGAGTTCTAAGAAAGAAATTGCTTTGGTGCACTACGGTCATCTTGAAACATTTGTACTATTTCCCAAGAACACAATACACAGTATACACAGCCACAACTATAGACTGCCTTTTGGTCTTTAAAAATCCATCCTTTCTTTCCTTCTATCCTTCTTTCTTTATTTCCTTCTTTCCTTCTCTCTTCCTTTCCTTCTTTTCCTTCTTTTCCTCCCTTCATTTCCTTCTTTTCCTTCCTTCCTTCCTTCCTTCCTTCCTTCCTTCCTTCCTTCCTTC